AAGCACAAACCTTTCCAGGGTGAAACACCCCTGGCCCAGGACAAATTCTCACCACGTCCCAGGTAGAGCAAGGCTGCTGCAGGACCGGCTCTCCTCAGTGCCGAATCTTCTCCTGCCACTGCCAACTGCTGGAGAGTCCTTGAGTCGGGAAAGAGGCAGCCATGCAATAAGCGCCAGCCTAAGATAAGGAAAAAGCTCATTTATCAGGGGCTGATGAGCCCACGGCCACTTGGAGGCACAAGCTCAGTTAGCTGCACAGGTGTCTGAGGAAACGTTTCAACCGCAGAAAACGAGGAACCCAGATTCCCCGCACCCTTAAACACCAGGCATCTCATCCTTTCTTGGTCAAAACCACTCCTCCAGACACCTTTCTACTGCACATGGAGAAGCTACATTTAATTTTGCTTTAGTACCTGTTTTTGGTAGGGATGCCAACGAAACAGGGCTTCTCTTATGTATCGGTTGTCTAAGGCTGCTGTAACAAAGTGCCACAAACTGGTGGCTTAAGTAAGGGAAATTCCTTGTCTCGGCTCTGGAGGGCAGAAGTCGAGATTAAGGAGACTGCAGGGTCGGTTCCTTCTGAGGCTGAAGGACAATCTGTTCATGCCTGTCTCCTTGCTTCTGGGGGTTTGCCGGCAATTTTTGGTGTTTCTTGCCTTGTAGAAGCATCGCCCGGATCTCGGCTTTCATCTCCCATGGTGTTCTCCATGTGTGTCTGTGTCCAAATTTCCCTTTTTTATAAGGACACCAGCCATACTGAATTCGGGCCCACCCTAATGGCCTCACTTGAACTGATTACCTCTGTAAAGACTCTCTCCAAATAGTCACATTCTGAGGTACTGAGGGTTAGGACTCCAGTGTATCTTTTTTGGGGGCGCACAATTCAACCCTTAACACCTTAAAACAGAAAGTCAAAAGTTGCATAGCATCTACACTCTGGGCTCAAAAGTATGTCAAGTAATAGACACCAGAAATAAAAATTTTCTCCTATTTCATCCTTTCAGATTGCATTTCTTTGCCAAATAAAACACAAAGGTTGGGTTTTTGTCACTCTCTGATGAATTACTTTCAATAACTGCCACATAAAGGGAACTTATCTGCAGCCAATGTCTGAATTCTCTTCTTTTCATCCAATTGGTTAGAGCGATTCTGGAGAGACTGGAGCAAACCATTATTCTTCCACACTTTGTCTTCTAAAGAAAACTTTGTAAAAGGACCAAATCTTGACTGGGTCCAAAATACACTTCCATAGTCAATGAGAATCGGGAGAGTGCTCACACACCTTGTTGTTGACACGGAACACTTGTCCTTTTTTAAAAAAGTTTAAAATCAAAGGAATAAAATTTACAAATGGGCTCTGTATGAATTTACCTTTTGCTCTGTATATAACATCTTAAAGATTAGGTGGAAGTTATCTGCCACCAAATAAATGTACAGAAAACTGAGTCGCCACTTCATTATATTAAAACCAGAATAATTAACAATAGCGAATATAACAAAACCAGAACTGAAAGATTTAGAGAACGGGTCTTCTGGTTTACTGAAGTTTTGGAGAAACTGAGGGCTGACAAGAAGTGCTTTCTGTTCTACCTCTTATTGCCTGCTACATTCTCACGCTGCTTAAAAATTCACGAGGGTGAACCATGCCTCATACGGTGACACCCCTTCCAGCAAGCCATCATCTTCAAAGCTAGGTCAGATCCCCCTACCAACTGCTTTTCGGACTGAACCACCCTTCACCTTGACTTAGTTTGATTTTCATTCTGAAGGTAGCCTCAACTCTACAACTCCCAAGCCTCACTCATTGTAGAATTCCATGAGTTTCTTTGACCAGTGGACAAAATCTGAAAATTCATTATGAGTCTTATTCCTTATAAAGTTTTCAAGCATAATTTAAAGGTTATCTTGGGCCGGCCCTGTGGCCTAGCGGTTAAGTGCGCGCGCTCCGCTGCTGGCGGCCCGGGTTCGGATCCCAGGCACACACCAACGCACCGCTTCTCCAGCCATGCTGAGGCCCCGTTCCACGTACAGCAACTAGAAGAATGTGCAACTATGACATACAACTATCTACTCGGGCTTTGGGGGAAAAAAAGGAGGAGGATTGACAATAGATGTTAGCTCAGAGCTGGTCTCCCTCAGCAAAAAGAGGAGGATTAGCATGGATGTTAGCTCAGGGCTGATCTTCCTCACAAAAAAAAATAAAAAAATAAAGGTTATCTGTTTTCTAGGCATCAAAAATAAGAACTTGCTGATTTTAACTATTTGGCCACAGTGTCTTCCTTTTGCTAATAAGGTCCTGAAGCTCTTTTACATGAAAATAATAGCAAACAGAAATAGCACTAACTATGCCAGGCACCTAAGGGCTTTACAGACAATGATGTAACACCTATAGGCCTTCTTGTCACACGTGACAGATGAGGGAACTAAGGCACAGAGAAGTTAAGTAACTTGTGTAAGGCTGCACAGTAATGGTGGACCTAGGGTTCAAACCAGGATAGTCAGGCTCCAGATGCTGTGCTCTCCATCACATGCCATACTGCCTCTCGCAAAATAACACAAGAGAATCTTTTCTGTAGTTATATTTGATGAAAGACAAAGCAAAATACAGGAACTCGAAGTGTCATTCCAGTAACCACCACAGATTAGAAACACATGTACTGTGTAGTTACATCAACTTCTTTTCAAATCCAAAGAACAAGAACATAACTAAAACAAATTTATTTTAAATAGCCTTAGAATCAGAATGAAACCGATAAAGTCATCTATTGAAAAAGTGTTAACTGAAGAGTGTCATCCATTTTGGGTATTATATTTCTTTACCTCAAACTAAAGAATTAAAGTAGAAGCATACTGTTTGCTAATATTTTTTTTTTTTTAAAGATTTTATTTATTTTATTTTTTCCCCCCAAAGCCCCAGTAGATAGTTGTATGTCATAGCTGCACATCCTTCTAGTTGCTGTATGTGGGACTCGGCCTCAGGATGGACGGAGAAGTGGTGCCTCGATGCGCATCCGGGATCCGAACCCGGGCCACCAGCATTGCAGCGCGCGCACTTAACCACCAAGCCACAGGGCCGGCCCTGTTTGCTAATATTTTTAAAAACTATGTCCAGATACAAATTACTTTGGAAGTTCCTGAAATTAATGAGCAAGCGATTTGGTTTTTTCCATTATTTAACCATTACAGAACCGCAACAGCCTTTGGAAAACCACTGGTGGTGAGATTTTGGATAATAAAAAGTATAACACCAGATTGTTAGCAGTGGAGACAACAAAATATAAGTTAGAAAATTCATAAACATACATTTATTCAGGAAATACAATTCCCAGAGTCCTTGACATTTCAACGATCATTCCACATTATAGAATATTCACATGTATTCTTTTAATTCTATATCAAGTCATGCTGACATTCTTTTCAGATAAGCCACAGCCATTTCTTCTATTAAATGCTACAATATCCATTTAAATTGTAAACAACGTACTTGAGCCAAACTACTTAAGTACTTGAGAAAATAACTTCAAAAATTCATAAGAGGAAGACAACGATTATTTAAAAACATCTGAATTTTCAAACCCCAAAGAACTAGGCCACTATAATCTAGTATTATACTAATGGATAAAGTGGCCATATTAAGACAGCACATAATTACCAATGACAGTATTTCTCATCTGCAATTTTTAAACATGCTTTCTCAAATAATAAACATTTATGTTTTTAAGTTTTAAAGGCAAAGGGGGCAGAAAGATGACAGACATTGAAAGTTTACATTTAAACTGCTGGCAGATTTTATTAAAAAAGAAAAACGATAGACTGTAACTACTTCCCAAATAAGGAATGCCAAGTACCTTGTGTTCCTAACAAAATTATCAAGAAGTGCAACCCATCATTATACTTGCAGCTACTTCATAACAGCTGTAAACTGAATTATTCTATTCTGATACTTCCAGAGTCCAGTGTAAGCAGAGCATTTTATAAGGGAGGAACCAGTGGTTCTCGACCCCAGGTGTCCTTTAGAACCACCTGGAAAGCTTTAAAAAACTAAGCACCTGGCCCCACTCTCAGAGTTTCTGATTCACTTGGTGTGGGCTGGGACTCAGGTATCAATATTTTCTAAAGCTCTGCAGGGTGTTCTAATATGCAGCTAAGGTGGAGAATCACTGAATCGACCTATTATGAAATACCAAGAAAATAAATGGAAATTGGGGAGAGAAGATAATTTATAATTTACAAATAAAAAACCTATTATATACTTCCTGTGTGCCTAGTTATGCTCATGGATCACACATTTATTTATAAGATGAAAATTCCCTTCATTTCCTCACTATACCAGACCACTACCGTACATCTTTGCCACCAGTGACTGAAGTGTTCTATGGTCAGGATTTAAAATCCTGGGACACACTGTGAAAACTGCATTAACAAAAACAAACTCCTGCTACTCAGGCTCAACAGGAGCAAGCACAACTACTGTATTTGGCTCCTTTAAGCTATCCCGATTTTAAGAATTATAAATAAGTGCCAACCCACACAAAAAACAGAGTGTGGATTACTGTAGAAGGAAAAAAAAGCTTACTCGACTTACCAAGTTTCAACAGCAGAAAAAGATTTAACTTGGCTGAAAGTTCTGAAAAGCTGAGATACTGAACCAGGAAGCTATAATTTATAATGAAATGCTGACACACCCTTAAAAGCTACTGCAGCTGCAGCTCTACTAACAAGATTTCTTCAGGGTCTACTTACCCTGGAATGCGAGAACACAAGCATAACAATATTACTGTTTTTATATGCACCAATACCTCTTTAATATATAAAGCTCTACAACAAATACCTCTAATAATTTTACAGTTAAATTAAAATAAGTCCATAATTCTACACTACTTTGGTCTCAACATTTTAAAAACATCAATTTTGAAAATATACAATTTAACAACATGATCCTATCAATACAAGCACATTTTGTAGTGGACTAGATACACATTCAACCATGCAATCCAGTGTTCAATACCTAAATGATAAATAACAATGCTGATTAACTTTTATTCTGAAAATCACTGAAAACTGGAATAATCTTTTAAGACTCACAGTGCTCACAAACATGCAGAAAAAGATATACATTTCTATTCTTCCTGATGGAATGTTACAAAATGCCCACTTTTTATACAAGGTCAATTATTATTCTAAATTCCTTATATATTTCAATCCATTTTCTTTTCAGCGTCTATCATTTAAATTTTTAAAAAACCATACAAACGTTCCTGTAAGTTGTGACTGAAAATGGACCTCTTTAATTTCAGCCTTTAAAAAGACCTCAGTCATTCACTGATAGCTGCCTTTTAGAAAAACAGTGACATCCAGTGGACAAATCAAAGTCTCTCAGAATTCCCATCATTATATATGAATCATAAACAAAGATCGGTTCTTTAGATCCAATCATTTTAATATAAATGAGTTCCTACTCACTTTGACAAAGAGCCTGCAGATTCTTATGAACACATCACTTCATAATTTCTATATATCTTAAATATATCCTTCTATCTTCTTCCTATTTAAAATCAATTCTTTAAATTGAGCTAGTAAGAGTGTGTAACTCGTGAGGCTAGTGAGGTTAAAGATATTACTTTTTCTTCTTTGCTTCTGCTATTTCCCATCACAAACTGACTGGCTCATCTCTAGGAATGGAAGGACCAAAATATAAGAAATATATTTAAATAAAAACCAATAGCATTAAAAAAATTTGCAAAAGATGAAACCTAAACCTATTTTTCCATTTCTAATTTGATATATTATTGAATATAAAGAGATGTAATCAGTAATGCTAACAATCAAATTACATCCTCTTGCCTCACTGCTCCAATATTACGAAATACGTTTTAGCAATGATTGTTTCAGTGTTTAAAAACTTACTTTTATAAATCAGTATAAATGAATATTCATTATACATTATGTTTAAATAAAAGTAAAAAACTTCCACTGTGCTGAGTTATGATTTATCATTGATTACATATGTTGTGTGTGTGTTCAAAGTACAAAATGCAGCAGTGATGTTACCACTGACAGTGTAATGAGCTGCTGGGGCGGAGACTGCTATGTTTAATTCCTTGGAAAACTGTAAAGAAACTTCACAGGTTAAAAAAAATAGAGTAAGCAAAAAAAGAACTGGAGAACTGTTATTTTTAAATAAGCAGCCAAATGAAGAAAATTTTTTTTCTAAAAAATGATTAAGAATGTAAAAGTACATTTTAATATTAAAAAAGCATTTTTAAAAATCTGTAACAACTTTATGACAAAATCTGCATTTGAAAAAGGCCTGTAAAAACAGCAGGACAGAATTGCCCTCATCGCCGTTTACTTTTTCTAGTCAGAAAAGAGTGTATGCATCTCTGGAACTGTAAGTGATGTTAAAATAGGCATTTATAAAATGGCAAGGAGGATTTTGCGGGAAGTTTCTGTTTGTTTTTTACAATCACTGGCATTTCGGCCACCTGGTAGGCCACGAGGACAACTTCTCCAGCTAAGAGCAGAACGGGGTAGAAAGCTCTGAACCGCTTTAGGTCTGCTGCCTGCGCTTTGCTGATCTCATCTTTTCAAAGCGTGACTCCATTTCCTCTAAGACCTTGGGAGTATAGCGTACCACTAATTTAACCTTCCCTTGAGCTGCTTTCAGCAGTTCCACAGCTTTTTCATGATGTTCTCCTTCAACGCTCTAGGAAGAAAGCACACGCACACAATTAACAACTAGGTTTTGTAAGTCATTCAAAAGGCAAAACTGTTTAAAATAAACATAAGTAAAAAAGCTTTAATGTTATATCATTTCAACACTATAAACCCATGAAATAATCCTACTTTATCATTTTAATCAGTGTGAAATACTCTGCTAAATCATATTCTGTTTGTAGTCTAGGAACTGGTTTTTAAGTTCTAAATAATTAGCATATCAATATGTAAGTCCTATTATTTCACTAAGTCAGAAGCAAATCAAGCAATTGCCATTCTTGTAAGACTAAAATGAGGGTAGACCTGTAATTTAATGTACTGCCTTGACTACCAAAGAGCTTAATTACTTCATAAAAATCACACTAAGCATTGCTAATTTACATTGGAGAGAAGCAAAATACACTTTAGGTGCTTTAAAAAGGACCACTGTACTAAACAGTACTGCCCAGGATCCCCGCAAGGGATTTCTAAACTGCAAAGCTTCTTGGGTCTTTTTCCTACAATGTCTGTTTTGATAACTGTAATACACCCCCACGTGGTCACAACACCTTACTACAGCTAGAAATAAAATCCATCCTCACCACTCCATTGACAGACAAGAGCTGATCTCCTCGCTTGAGGCCCCCATGTCTGTCAGCAATTCCACCCGGAATTATCCGAGAGATATAGATTGGAGAGTTCTGTTCTTTGCCTCCCATAATATTGAATCCAAGGCCCTCTTCTGTTTTTGGTAGCTCAACAACGCGAGGATGAGAATGTCCTTCACTAGCAGCAAATGCAGCGACAGTAGCCTGAAAGAAAATTTCACATATTTAAAAATGACTTTTGTTTCCTTCAGTTCTTTTGTCTCTTTTTTAAAACTACTTTTGAGGTACATCCTTCCGCTGTTTGAACGTCCACAGACCCACTGGCAGTTCTGAGGAGAAGGTCGGCTGAGCGGATGGGCTGAGAGAGGATGACGGGAAAGCACGCCCTGGGACTGTGCAGGGAGGGCTGAGACTGCTCAGGCCACTCCTCGTCCCCTGGTGCCCAGCACTCTTGTGCGGCACTCAGGAAGCAGGCTTGCCGGGCAGATGAACCCTGTGCACGCGAAGGAAGATAATCCTCCCCGCTGCACGCAGCAGCCCTGAGCTCTGGGGCCGGATGGCCTGGCTCCTTCAGGGGCTTCCGGGCAGGACACACCCACCTACATAATAACCTGTGAGGAGGTAGTGTCCTTATATGCTGTACCATTTGTACTATATACTAAATAACTAACTCGTCAGGAAATAACTCACTATTGAGAAAAAGAGGGCGGCATACAGCCAAAGTGAATGCTTTTTTTTTGCTTAAGTTACTACTATACTACTATAACCCCACAGAAGATGAAACAGACCCACATCTTCTTTAAAACTTTCAAATTTAGACTAATCTAGACACAAAGTTGAGATTTTCAGTTTCATTTGCTTTTAAAGGTAATTAAGTAATCTGGTACCATTTTTCATGGTGGATTGGGGTGCATGAGCAAAAATGGGAAGGGGGAGAGGAAGGAAATGAAGATTTGTTGAATACTACTATGTTCCAAGCTCTGAAAGAGGCCTCACTTCACAGACAATGAAACTAAGGCTCAGAAATTCAGTAAGCTGTGAGGGTCATATAACTCAGGAATCAAAGCCAAGTTTCTATGGTTTTTTCTACTCTGTCAAACTGCACCCATATGTTTAAGTGTTTTTATTCAACAGAGAATCCAATATTTCCTTCTGCGAACCAGTAACTATCTATGAAAAATCACCTGCTAATGACTTATTCTACTATAAGTCACCTACTGCTGATATTAACTTATTCTAGCCACATATGATGCACATTGAGGTCAATGTTGGAATTATTTGAGGGAAAACACTGGAACAGAAAAGCACATAAAGCTGCCACCTGCAGCTCTGAAGAGGCAACTTACTACTTACATTATCCGTATCTGCAGAGTTAAGATAAAGCAGAAAGGAAGAGCAACGTGATGGAGTACCCAGTTCTACCTTTCACTGTTCGTGTGGCTTGAGGCAGGTGAACTAATCTGATGCTTCCTCACCAATAAAATGAGGATAATACATAATTAATGGTATAACACATATATTGTATATAACGACTAGCTATTATATGATATGTATATCATTACTTGTGTGCAAGTGTATTTTTAATGCATTATCTAAACTGTATGATAAAACTTTGTAAAGCCAATAAAAAAATGTCCTGTTTCCTGATATTTGGTAAGTTTAGCGTAGCTTGAAAGATACTATATGTTACCTTTCAAAATAAGCCTGTTATGAATCTAATAACTGCATATTTTAAACCTCTAATTTATGAAGAATTCTCTTTTAGTAAATGAAAAAATTTACCTTTGCAGTAGCATTAGCTCTCACTTCAGGACTGCTACTGATGTCCACAGTCTCATAGACATGTTCATATACCTGTAAAACCCCAAGTTATCATCGTGATTTTAAATTTCAGAATATACCATGTTTGAGTTCCACGCGAAGCTAAGGAATGTGTTAACATTTTAGGCAAAGTTATGCATCTTTGTAAAATGTTTTTCTATTAGAAATTCCAAAAACAAGAGGAGCATGTTCCATTCCAATGTTTTTCTAAAGTTTGTGTTCTTAAGAAATTCTGAACCTAAATTTCACAGTATTATCTTATCTAATTAACTCAAGTTTTCAGTAAACTTTAATCCCATTTACTCACCTCTCTTACAGCATTGCAGAATTCACTTTGAAGGACTCTCTGTAAAGCCTGAAGTTTCTGTGGTGGTACCTCTCCACTCCTCTGTAGTTTTTCCAACAATTCAATTGCTCTACAAATATCTAAAGTTAAACAAACACACACCAATAGATAATATTCTCTGAAGATTCTCTAAATTCCTATGTCACAGTGTAGGAGTTAGGATTCACTTCTCAAGGACTAACAAGAAATATGTAGAACATAGAGGGGAAAAAGCCTAAGAGTGTGCACTTGTGTCTGTGTAGGGAGGAAGGTGTGTGTGCATACACACATCAGGGCGGGAATGTAAAATCTGAGAAGAATGCTACATTTTACAGTAGGTGAGGAAGAAATACTGATGTTGTGCACACAAACAAAATTTGGAAAATAGCATCTTTGGGAGACACAGGAAAATTGAATATAAAATATGAAATGTCACAGGAAAGGACTGGGGCTCAAATGTGATAGACACATGAACATTGTATTGCTTCAGAAAAGCTGAAAGTATTATCTGGAACTATTTAGTCAATAAAAATTTACCTGTCATTATTAGTAATCAAAACACTGAACAGTACAAAACACTGTGTGCCAGTGAAGTCACTGTTCATGTCCCAAAGGAAAACACGATATTCATGCAGACGCGAACTGTTCAATAACAGGTGCAGTTAGTGGCAGGGACACATTTAAAACAATGGTACAGGGGCCAGCCCGGTGGCGCAAGCAGTTTAAGTGCATGTGCTCCGCTGCGGCAGCCTGGGGTTCGCCAGTTCGGAAGGAAGATGGGCACAGATGTTAGCCCACGGCTGGTCTTCCTCAGCAAAAAAACAGGAGGATTGGCAGATGTTAGCACAGGGCTGATCTCCTCACAGAAATAAATAAATAAATAAAATAAAATAAAACAATCGTACAAATGAATAAAATCAACTGGTCTGTTTTCAACTTAGGATCATTAACACAATGTTTTAATTAAGCCAAGCTCAATCAAATACATATATGTTTACAAAACAGAAAAATAAAAATAATTAGTTTTGTCATCTGATCTCAATACTAGCGGTGTGATCTTGGGCAAGTTACTGAACCTCCCTATGTCTCAGATTCTCCACTGTAAAATGGAAATAACAGTACCCTCCTTAGAAGAATTACCTGACAACTAAACCAAAAAATACACGGAAAAGGGTCTGGCATGTAGCAAGCAGAAATGTTATGTTACATTGGCACCAGTTAATCATAAGAAATAGTAAGCGGTTGTACACATTTATACAGATATATTAAGCACGTTAGGCAATTCGCATTGGGAAGTGTGAGCATAAGTGTTTAATGAATTAAGACATTTTATAAGATTCAGGGTCATGCTACAACACTGTTAATGACTGTCTCTATTTTGATGTTTTTCTTACCTATTTTTGTACCCCAAGGGGCTAGAATATCTATTATTCTACCATTCCTTGCCTCCTTTAAGTGGAAGAAGTTCTATTATACCAAAGGACTGGAACTTTTTCTTTATAGAATTAATATGGCCTTCTTTGTGTTTGCAGCTGAAAAACTAGAAATAAACGTAGTGAAGAAAGAAGTAGATTTTTCAATTTCAGGTAATAAAAGCTTAAACTGATGTGAATCAAATGCAATGGAAACACACTTTCCCCCATTCTGATACTCTACCACTAGGATGGCTGGTGGGTGGGGACTGTTGGTTCATCAGCTATTTTGACTTACAAAGTTACAATATGTAAGCTACATGAAAATTTCCAATTACCAAAAAAATTGAAAAAAGTAAAATACTCTCTACTGAACCCAAGCTGTACCTAATTTGTGCTCAAATGTGTTCCACTGAATCATATGATAATTTAGAAGACATTCAGGATCTTGATCATATGCACTCATTTTATACTGTAGGATTACTGGGAGTGTTTAAATAAAGTTTAAACAGAATTCTAAATAAGAAACAGAGTTGATGTAATCTGACTTTCTTATCCTGCTAGATGGCAACCGCTAATAATTCATCCTACTAAGATGCTGAGCATTCTACTGTGGAACTGAAGAGAACTCTGAAACAGCAAAAAACAAAGCCATGACTACCAAAACTAAATGCCAGAGGTTAAGTTTCACATTTTGTGCTGCACTTAAAAATACAAAAGACTGCCAACATGCTAAAATCCTACAACTGGCTTTCAAAGAAAAACACCTACTCCTGTTAACACCAAACAGATTTGTTCCCATCGACAAAGCACAGTGCCATTGTGCTCAGGAGGAAGATGTCACCGTCTCAGGCCTAACTTAGTAAGTCTTCCCAAAGTTGCTACTTCTCTGTCAAAAATGATGCTTTAATTAATGATCTGGCGGGCTGGGGGGTAACGATGTCGTTTATAAACGGTGAACACCATAAGGAATCAACAATGTTAACTGCACATTGGCTTGTGTCAAGGCATGAGGAAAGAGGTTTCTCTAAATACAACAATTCTAAAAATGCATTCCCTTCTCAGAGCAGAAGTTACTTAATATTCAGAGCATAACTGCAAATGTTAGTATTTGCAAGATATTTTCAATCTCCATCCTATACTTTGTTTACTACTGTACTCAAGATATTTAGTTTGTACTTCTTGACTCTTACCAACGACTTCTAATACTGGTATGCCAAAAGGATGCTTGAAATTGCATGAAATAAAGGATCTGCAGAGGAAAGAGTGGAATGTGGAAAATCTGTAAGAGAACCCCGGTAGGGGCATGGCCATGTATTCTCACTGGCTTTTGGGTCTCTAATCACTCAACAAAACAAGTTTTATTTTCCTTGACAGTTTGCTCTAAAAAGCAAGCAACCAGCCTCAGTGAGCAGTTGTACGGTTTGTAGAGAAGAAATAAGACTACACTTGCAAACATTTTACAATCTACCACTATTCCGGCTAGTTATGTAACCTTCTTCCCAAGAGCAAATCAGCAGCACTGTTTTAAAGCACCTTCTCCGTACCTGGGAGGGGCACCAAGGCCAGGAAATACCCCAAAACAAACAGGAGTGAGGTGTGGTCAAGGCAATGACGGGTTTGTGCGTGCACAGGAGAGGTGCTGTGGGGACACGCTGTGTGTCCAGGACGCGTGGGTGCAGGCGCGGCCGCCGGGCGCGTGCATGAAGGCGGGCAGCCGTGCAGTCCGGCCGGCCGGGCGTGGGAGGGGTGCCTCTGGGCGACGCGGCTCTCAGCCCGGGGCCCGTGTGCGGCGCTTGCGGACGCGGACAGGTGATGACCGGCGCTGCGCCCCGGGACGGTCCGTGCCAACTGCGGTCTGGGCATCACTCGGGAGACCGCAAACGCCCTCCCTGGGGCCGGGCGCCGCGACGTCGGCGGTCCCCGGGGACAGCGCGAGGGGCAGCCTGGCTCGGAGCCTTGGCCGCCCCTCTCCCCCCGGCGACACGGCCCGCCTCCACCCCTCCGTCCGTCCCGGCCCCGGCCCCGGCCGCGGCCGCACTCACCCCGCTCCAGCCGCACTGGCTCCCCCAGCGCCGCCATCTTCTTGCTGTGCCCGCAGACCCACAGGAAATGACGACAGAGGGGCGCGGCGGAGGGGCGGGGCCTACGGGAGCCGGGGGCCGGGGCCGGGCGGTATCGCGAGAAAGGGAGCGGGGCCTGGGGGCTTGCGGGACCTCGCGAGGTGGAGGCGTGGCCGGCTCGCCAGGTGGGCCCCGTGCTGTCCCTCCCGGGGTTCCAGGGTTCTCGAGTTCCTCGGTCTCCTGAGGTTGAACAGGGCCGCCTTCACGACCTTTGCTCCCTGCCTCGGGATTTAACGTCGTCCCACCCGCTTGGAGCCCTTGGCTCCACGGGGAAGAGTCTGGAGTCTTGTCCCAGCTTGACCTCTACCGGCTCTGTGAGCCCGGACTGCGCGCTTACCCTCTTTCGGCCTCAGTTTCCCCATCTGTGCCATGAAGGCCCCATCTCCGAGGTCTTTTCCATCCTTCAACTCTGGGATTCTGTGACAATCAGGCGTGTCATTGAGATATTGTAAATTCTCCTTTTGTGGCAGCGTTGCTTTAATTTTAAAAATCAGGACAGGAGCCTTCCCTCCAAATCTGTTTGCGAGTGAGGATGGAAAGTACGGGAAGCGTGAAGCGCGCCTGGGTGAGTGAGCCAGAGAACAAGGCTCTTTGGTGCGCCACGAAGTAACAGTTTAAAAAAGCTGATCCAAAATCTTACGTAAGTGAAATGTCCTGAAGCCGTGATATTCTTAATGCGTTACAGAGTCTTAGGGCCACTTTTGAAAACTTCATGAACCAAGAAAAATTTTGTCGTCAGTTTAAATGGAATATTCATTTGCCCAGTGTTTAGATTCCACTAACATTTATTCAAGCCCTGGTCTGTGTTGATAATATCTTAGGTGTTTTCATATACAAGTGTTCAAGACTTCATGATAGGATTGTTTAAACAACCTCCAGGTTGCCCCTGGCCCACCCTTTCCACCCAACTATAATGCTTTCTTCTAATCCATCATGAATGTCACCACTATACTCGCTTTCCCCCTTGAGCCCTGATTTCATCATCAAAGGCTTCTGTTCGCAAACTTTCAGTGGTTTCTCACCCTGTTTCCTCTTTCTGAAGCTTTGCGTGCTTGACCCTAACATCTATCTAACCTCGTTTCTCGTTATCCCTCGAATGCAACCACCACTCAGGTTGAGGTGGCATATCCAAAACCACGTTTATTCTTGATTTTAAGTCTTCATTTATGTTGCTCTTATGTGGAATGCCCTTCATCTCCTCCACTTCTCCAAACTGTATACATACTCAGACTGAACCCATCCTCCCGGTCCCTGCTGAAGACACTCCACTTCCACTAAGCTTCCCTTCTCCATCCTCCTCCCCTTCTTTGGTACATGATGGCCCTTATACCTGCAGTAGCACTCATGTGCTCATGTCTTATTCATTGTTGTCGTTTGTTCAGCCACAAAGGTGTTCAAGAAGTGTTTGTTAAATGTCTGATGTCTGCCAGGTGCCTTCCTAGGCACTGAGGGTACCATGTGGAGAGAGACAAATGCAGACTTCGCCCTTATTTCTTCCAATATTTTTTCTCCCCCATCCTCGGGCTTCTCTCCTTTGATGACTCCACTTACAGGTGTATTCTGCTGCCTGGCATTATCTCACGGCTCACTGATGCTCAGTTCATTTTGTTTTTTCAAGCTTTTCTCTGCTTCCTTTCTTCAATATCTAATATTCCCTTAATCCCATTTGGTTCACTTTTCATTTTAGACATTGTAGTTTTTATCTCTAGCAGTTTGATTCAGGAGTGTGTGTGTTTTTCTGCATCTTTCATGTTCTTACTTAACATACTCAGTCTTTCCTCTAGCTTCTTGAACATATAGAATACAATTATAATGGCAATTTTAATGGTCTTATCTACTAATTCTAGCATCTGTGCTATTTCTGGCACTGTTTCTATTCATTGATTTTTCTCTGCATTATGGCTCATAATTTCCTGCTTCTTACTTGACTGGTAATTTATATGTATGGTTCTACTCTGCCTGGCAGGAACAGGAACTATTCTCATGAACGGAGATTGTTGATGGTTTACTTTGTTCCTTTTGAATGATCCTTTCCCTATCCTTGGTAATTTCTTTTTTTTTTTTAATAATTTTATTTATTTATTTATTTTTTCCCCTAAAGCCCCAGTAGGTAGTTGTATGTCATAGTTGCACATCCTTCTAGTTGCTGTATGTGGGACGCGGCCTCAGCGTAGCCGGAGAAGCGGTACCTCTGTGCGCGCCCGGGATCCAGACCGGGCCGCCAGCAGCAGAGCATGCGCACTTAACCGCTAAGCCACGGGGCCGGCCCTATCCTTGGTAATTTCTTAACACATAGAATCATCATGAAATTTCAGAATTCCGTGAATAAGTAGAAGATCCTAAAATTTTCAGAGAAATTGAAAAGAATAAAAAGCTACATTCTAAGGACTGGGAATCAGAACAGTTATAGACCATTAATTATTTGAAGCATAGGTGAGGAAGAAAAAAGTTTTAGGAGCTACTTCTGAGTGAAGAAAATATGATTTAATTAACAACAACCCATTTGTACTCAACGTACAAAATAAAAGAATCAGCTACTGTATAAGGAGAGATTCCCTAAAATGTCCCTCCCTGATTCGTAAATCCTTGAGCGTTAGAATTGGGAGAGACCTAGAGAGTCCCACTCCTTCACTTCACAGAGTGATCGCTGTCCTGGGTCTCAGAGGAGGCCGCTGTGAGCACGACGTGACAGAGCTGCTTTAGCTTTTATGCCCCTGCCGGGTTGTTAAGCCACCAGGCTTCTCAATCAAGAACTACTCTTCCTCTGGAAGAGCTCCTCTTCACCTGTTGCTTCCTCATTTAACTTCCTGCCTCGGAGGGGAAGAGGAACACTCAAGTGAGAATAGGAAGTCTGAGTCTAGACAAATCCCAGTGAAAGCTAAATTAAGCAAATTTAGTCTTTATAGGAAAAATTAAAGTCCTAACTAGGCAGCCAGGGCATGAAAGCTTCCTTTCTTTCTTTTCTTTTTTGCTGAGGAAGACTGGCCCTGAGCTAACATCTGTTGCCAACCCTCCTCTTTTTTTGCCAAGGAAGATTAGCCCTGAGCTAACATCTGTGCCATTCTTCCTCTATTTTGTATGTGGGTTGCCACCACAGCATGGCTGACAAGTAGTGTAGGTCTGTGCCTGGGATCCAAACCTGTGAACTGGGCCGTCAAAGGGGAGCTCATGGAACTTTAACCACTACGCCATGGGGCTGGCCCCTTTGTTCTTTTGTTTTTTGCTGAGGAAGATTAGCCCTGAGCTAAGATCTGTGCCAGTGTTTCTCTATTTTTTTTTTAAAGATTTTGTTTATTTATTTATTTTCCCCCCAAAGCCCCAGTAGGTAGTTGTATGTCATAGCTGCACATCCTTCTAGTTGCTGTATGTGGGACGCAGCCTCAGCATGGCTGAAGAAGCAGTGTATCGGTGCGCGCCCGGGATCCGAACCCGGGCCACCAGCAGCGGGAGCGCACACACTTAACCGCTAAGCCACGGGGCCAGCCCAGTGTTCCTCTATTTTGTATGTGGGTTGCTACCACAAGCATAGCTGATGAGTGGTGTAGGTCCACGCCTGGGATCTGAACCTGTGAACCCGGGCCACTGAAGGGGACCATGCCTAAGTTAACCACTAGGCCTTGGGGCCGGCCCCGAAAGCTTTCTCAACTTGTTGCAAATACAATGTGTTAAGACAGTGTCAATTAAGAGAAAAAGGGGGTGGGAAAGTTGGGGGTGGGAGGCTGTCTAGAGAGGCAAGGAAATGGAAAGAAATGTGAGGAAGCAAACCACTCCCTGTGGGGGGTTTGACTATGTTACTGCAGGTGGAGCCACACACAAATGGGCGCGACTGTGTAGAACAGAGATTCAAAATAGCCACGCCTTAGTGCAGAGTGCAGCCTCACTCGCAATAAAGGGCTCTACTCAGGAATCCATCAACACGAAGTCTCAGTTTTCTTTCTTTTTCCAACAGAGTTTCCATAAAATACTCCTCAGAAAAGTAAAATTTTAGACAAATGGCTTCCTTTATTTGAAGTGAATGATGTTGTCAAATTAAACAACATATAAAAACACTTGGTCTAATCAATCAGACACAACAATATGGGGAAATCTCTTCAAGAACACCTTTTGAAGGGAAGTTTTGTTGCTCACAGACCTCAGATCAGAACACAAAACCCCATCTTGGGGTACCAGAGATCTAAAGTAAACCCTACTTTTTGGTAGGATGAGTTGCAGATTATATTAGAGTGTAGGGTTTATTTTTTTAATGTCAGTTGTTTCATCATCACTCTACAGTGCGTGTAAAGGCACAGATTGATATATTTTTTTGGCATCTTCCTGACGCACCCTTGCCCTAAATAAATCTGTTTGCCAGGATCTTGTCGCTTAAATTAGCCATCTCAAACTCTTGGTCCTGCCAACACAGGCGATTGTGCCAATGTTCTCAGCATCTACTGGCACACGAGCTGTTGCCTTTTCTTTGGCTTTCTCTGTGTACCTGGGACCATCATCCTTCCTTCATAGGACAGCAGTCTGGCTTATGTGTCCCTGAGACAGACTTCAGTGTTGGTTGGACTCACTGGTTCTCTCCAGGGTATGCATCCCGCACAATGTATTTTCAGCCACACAATATATTGTTCAGAATTTGTCATGCACATACTTGCAGATTGGCAGAGCCACCTGCCAGAGATGAGAACCTTTTAAGTTGTTGTCAAACGTCATAAAATGTGTTCCATGATTAATTTTGTGGGCACAGATTGGTTTTTGCACAGAGTCCAAAATTTGGGATATGTCACAATGACTAAATGGCACCGGCATGCTGAATGAATTTGGAATTTGTTTTGTCAAGTGTGGGAGCAGGCACACAGATGGGCTCTGATCCAGTGGTGCTGCTTGGAATTCTTATTATAGCAATGATGTCACTTGTCACGTGGAGCGGGCAATAATGCTGCCAAGTTATGGACAAAGCAAGGCAAACAAGAAAGTGCACAGGCCAAGGGGAAG